AGCGACGTGGATGAGGTCTGGGGCGGAAGGGGGGGGGTTCTCCTCGATGGAATGGGGGGGTTCTCACGTTGCTCCCCCCCTACCCCACCCCATCAGTACGCCCCCGATGGTGTCCAGAAGATCCTCATTGGGAACAAGGCGGACGAGGAGCACAAGAGGCAAGTGGCCAAAGAGCAAGGGCTGCAGGTGAGCGGGGGCTGTGGGGTGCCCCCCCCCCCCCCCTGCACCCCGGCATGGACGGAGTCCCCCTGCATCCACAGGGACCCCAGCAGCCCTCCTGCAGCCCTATGTGTGTCCATACCCCCCCAACAGCATGACCAGGGACCCCCCCCAGTGTGACCCCAAATCCTCCCCCCTGCACCCCGACATGGACAGAGCCCCCTATGAGCCCCCCTGTACCCCATAGGGACCCCAGCAGCCCGCCTGCAGCCCTATGTGTGTCCATACCCCCCCCAACAGCATGACCAGGGACCCCCCCAAGTGTGGCCCCAAATCCTCCCCCCTGCACCCCGACATGGACAGAGCCCCCTATGAGCCCCCCTGTACCCCATAGGGACCCCAGCAGCCTGCCTGCAGCCCTATGTGTGTTCATACCCCCCCAACAGCATGACCAGGGACCCCCCCCAAGTGTGACCCCAAATCCTCCCCCCTGCACCCCGACATGGACAGAGCCCCCCTGTACCCCATAAGGACCCCAGCAGCCCTATGTGTGTCCATACCCCCCCAACAGCATGACCAGGGACCCCCCCCAGTGTGACCCCAAATCCTCCCCCCTGCACCCCGATATAGACAGAGCCCCCCATGGGCCCCCCTGTACCCCATAGGGACCCCAGCAGCCCTCCTGCAGCCCTATGTGTGTCCATACCCCCCCCAACAGCATGACCAGGAACCCCCTCATTGCCCCCCCCCAGAGTGACCCCAAATCCCCCCCCTGCACCCCGACATGGACAGAGCCCCCCATGGCCCCCCCGTACCCCATAGGGACCCCAGCAGCCCTCCTGCAGCCCTATGTGTGTCCATACCCCCCCAACAGCATGACCAGGGACCCCCCCCCAAGTGTGACCCCAAATCCCCCCCCTGCACCCCCATATAGACAGAGCCCCCCATGAGCCCCCCCGTACTCCATAGGGACCCCAATAACCCTCCTGCACCCCTATTTGTGTCCATTCCCCCCTCTCCAGCGTTATCAGCCCCCCCCATCATACTCAAGCCCCCCCCCCCAGTGCCTGCGCACCCCCAGGACCGCTCTTACATGTCCCTGTGTGTCCCCCCCCATAACCCCAACCACCCCCCTGCACCCCAACATAGCCCCTGTACCCCCAATGCACCCAGACCCCCCCCGAGTCGCCCTTGCTCCCATCACCCAGCCCCACTGGGTGCCCCTATTGCAGCCCCCCCCACCCCATAGCCAGCACAGCCCCTTCATGTGCCCTGGGGGGGGGGGGGAGGGGACGGGGGGGGGCACACATTGGGGGTGCTGGTGCCCCCCCAACCCCTCGCCTGCAGCTGGCCAGGGAGTATGGGATGGATTTCTATGAGACCAGCGCCTGCAGCAACCTCAACATCAAGGAGGTATTGGGGGGGGCAATAAAAGGGGGTTAGGGGGGGCAATAGGAGGGGGGTCAGAGGGGGTCAATAAAAGGGGGGTCAGGGGGGTCAATAAAAGGGGTGTCAGGGGGACAATAAAAGGGGGCTCGGGGGGGCAATAAGAGGGGGTTCAGGAGGGTCAATAAAATGGGGTTCGGGTGGTCAATAAAAGGGGGGTCAGAGGGGGTCAATAAAAGGGGGTTCAGGAGGGTCAATAAAGGGGGGTCGGGGGTCAATAAAGAGGGCTCGGGGGGTCAATATAAAGGGGGTTCAGGGGGGTCAATATAAAGGGGGCTCAGGGGGGTCAATAAAAGGGGCTTAAGGGGAGGTCAATAAAAGGGGGTTCAGGAGGGTCAATAAAAGGATGGTCGGGGGGTCAATAAAAGGGGGGTCAATAAAAGGGGGTTCAGGGGGGTCAATAAAAGGGGGTTCGGGGGGGTCAATAAAAGGGGGGTCAATAAAAGGGGGTTCAGGGGGTCAATAAAAGGGGGTCGGGGGGTCAATAAAAGGGGGTTCGGGGGGGTCAATAAAAGGGGGTTCAGGGGGGTCAATAAAGGGGGGCTCAATAAAAGGGGGTTCAGGGGGACAATAAAAGGGGGCTCGGGGGGCAATAAGAGGGGATTCAGGAGGGTCAATAAAAGGGGGTTCAGGGGGTCAATAAAAGGGGGGTCAGAGGGGGTCAATAAAAGGGGGTTCGGGGGGGCAATAAAAGGGGGGTCAGAGGGGGTCAATAAAAGGGGCTTAAGGGGAGGTCAATAAAAGGGGGTCAGGGGGGTCAATAAAAGGGGCTTAAGGGGAGGTCAATAAAAGGGGGTTCAGGAGGGTCAATAAAAGGATGGTCGGGGGGTCAATAAAAGGGGGTCAGGGGGGTCAATAAAAGGATGGTCGGGGGGCCAATAAAAGGGGGGTCAATAAAAGGATGGTCGGGGGTCAATAAAAGGGGGGTCAATAAAAGGGGGTTCAGGGGGGGTCAATAAAAGGGGGTTCGGGGGGTCAATAAATGGGGGTCAGGGGGGTCAATAAAAGGGGGTTCGGGGGGTCCCCCATTCTCACCCCCCGTTCGCAGTCCTTCACGCGGCTGACGGAGCTGGTGCTGCAGGCGCACCGCAAGGAGCTGGAGGGGCTGCGGGCCCCCCCCCGCACCCCCCCCTTGGCCCGCTTGGAGGAGGCCGAGCAGCAGCCCCTGTGCAGCGAGGACACCCCCAAAACCTGCTGGTGTTGAAGCATGGACACCCCCCCCCCCCCCATGGACCCCTCTTTGGATTCCCCCCCATCCCTGGGCTGTGCTGGGGGGTGCGGGATGGGGCAGCCCCATGGAGGGGGGTGATGGGGACAGATGGGGTGAGCCCACGCAGCACCCATGGAGGGGGGGGGGGGGCGCGATGGGTGCTGGTGCCCCCCCCCCCCATGCCCATGGACACCCCCCCCCCCCGTTTTACACGTACAATAAAGGTGATGCTGGAGGTGGCCGGGGCTCGGTGCTGCTGGGGGTGCTCCATGGGGCCCGGGGAGGTGGGGGGGGGGGGGGGGTCTATGGGTGGCTGTGCCCCATTGGAGCCCCCGGCACCGGGCATGGGGCAGGGCCAGGGCACGGCAACTTGAGCGGGTATCAATAATTGAGGCTGTGCCGGGGCTGGTGTCCTCTTTCCAGGCCAGGGGATGGGGATGTGGGTTGCTGGGTCCATGGGGTGCTATGTCTATGGGGTGCTGGGTCTAGGGGTGCTGGGTCTATGGGGTGCTGTGCCCATGGGGTGCTGTGCCCATGGGGTGCTGTGTCTATGGGGTGCTGGGTCCATGAGGTACTGTGTCCATGGGGTGCTGGGTCTATGGGTGCTGTGCCCATGGGGTGCTGTGTCCATGAGGTACTGTGTCCATGGGGTGCTATGTCTATGGGGTGCTGTGTCTATGGGGTGCTGTGTCCATGAGGTGCTGTGTCCATGGGGTGCTGTGCCCATGGGTTGCTGTGCCCATGGGGTGCTGTGTCTATGGGGTGCTGGGTCCATGAGGTACTGTGCCCATGGGGTGCTATGTCTATGGGGTGCTGGGTCTATGAGGTACTGTGCCCACGGGGTGCTGGGTCTATGGGTGCTGTGCCCATCACCACTGCCAGCTCAGCCCCAGCTGTGGGAGCATCCCCAGAGGGATGCATGAGCTGGCCCTGGCATGGACAGGGATGTCGTTGTCAGACAGCTCGGTGATGGGCACTGGGAAGGGTTGGCAGCAGGATGATGGTTGGCATTGGATCCTGGTGGGCATCGGCATGGATGGGTACTGGGATGGTGATGGGTACCAGATCCTGATGGGCATTGGCATGGATGGGTACTGGGATGGTGATGGGTACCAGATCCTGATGGGCATTGGCATGGATGGGCACTGGGATGGTGATGTGTATTGGGATGCTGGTGGGCATTGACATGGATGGGCACTGGGATGATGATGGGTACCAGGATCCTGGTGGGCATCAGAATGAATGGGCACTGGGATGGTGATGGGTATTGGGATGGTGATGGGTATTGAGATGCTGGCGGGCATTGGCATGGATGGGTACTGGGATGGTGATGGGTACCAGATCCTGATGGGCATTGGCATGGGTGGGCACTGGGATGGTGATGGGTATTGTGATGCTGGTGGGCATTGGCATGGATGGGCACTGGGATGGTAATGGGTACCAGGATCCTGGTGGGCATCGGAATGGATGGGTACTGGGATGGCAGCTGACACTGGGATGATGATGGGTACCAGGATCCTGGTGGGCATCAGAATGAATGGGCACTGGGATGGTGATGGATACTGGGATGCTAGTGGGCATTGGCATGGATGGGCACTGGGATGGCAGCTGGCACTGGGATGGTGATGGGCACCAGGATCCTGGTGAGCATTGGCATGGATGGGCACTGGGCTGGTGATGGGCACTGGGCTGGGTGGGCAGCAGGATGATGATTGGCATTGGATGGTGGTGGGCATTGGCATGGATGGGCATTGGGATCCTGGTGGGCACTGAGCTGGTGATAGGCACTGGGCTGGGTGGGCATTGGCATGGATGGGCACCGGGAAGATGCTGGGCCCAAAGCAGATGGATGCCAGGGTGAACACCGGCCCTGGGACCAGTGGGCACCAGCGCTGGTGGGCAGGCAGCAGGCACCGGGACGGCGAACACCGGCAGCCCGCAGGCGATGCCAAGGCAGCCTCAAGGTGGGATCCACACCGCGCCCCCCATTCCCCACCCCATGTGGGTCCGAGCCCCCCCCCCGGGCACAGGGAACAGCATCCGCGCCATCAATTATTGAGCTGGGTTGGAGCATCCGCGGCCCTGGCCCCGCGCCACCGCTCCCTGCCCGCGCCAGGGCGGACGGCTCCGGTTTCCAGCGGCACGGCTCCGGCTTCCAGCCCATCACGTGGGGCCCCACGAAGCCCTTAAGGCTGCTGGCGGGCGCGGGGGGCAAGGCGAGGCAGCAGCACCCCGCAGCCATGAGCATCCCCATCGCCAAGTCCTTCTACGACCTGAGCGCCACCTCCTTGCAAGGGGAGAGGGTGGATTTCAACGTGTTCCGGGGCCGCGTGGTGCTCATCGAGAACGTGGCTTCGCTCTGAGGCTCCACGGTGCGGGATTACACCCAGCTCAACCAGCTGCAGGCCCGCTACCCGCGGCGGCTGGTGGTGCTGGGCTTCCCCTGCAACCAGTTCGGCTGCCAGGTAAGAGCAGCGGGCGGGACGGGAGCGCGAAGCTCAGCGCGGTGCTGCTGGAGCATCCCCAACCCATCGGTGAGCGTTGTCCTCGATGGGGGGGTTCCTGCTTCCAGGAGAACGGCACCAACGAGGAGATCCTCAGCATCCTGAAGCACGTGCGGCCGGGCGGCGGCTTCGAGCCCAACTTCACCCTGTTCCAGAAGTGCCAGGTGAACGGCGCCGACACGCACCCGGTCTTCGCCTACCTGAAGCTCCATCTCCCCGCGCCGGCCGACGAAGCGGGGACCCTCATGGTGGAGCCGCGCTTCTTGGCCTGGAGCCCCGTGCGGCGCTCCGACGTCTCCTGGAACTTCGAGAAGTTCCTGGTGGGCCCCGAGGGGGAACCGTTCCGGCGCTACAGCCCCCGCACGGCCACGGCGCAGCTGGAACCCGACATCCAGCGCCTCCTCAAGCTGGCCAAGTAGGAGCCGGGGCCCAGGCGCCGCGGTCCCCGGCACGCTCCCGGCTCTCCGCAGGGTGACGGTCCCCTCCGAAACGGCCGCGGGGAGGGGGCTGGATGGGGGCAGAGAGCGGGAGGCACCGTGGGGCTGTGGGGGGCAATAAAGGAGGAGGGAGCGAACCCCAAAGTGTGCCTGGTGTGGTGGGGCTGGGGTAAGGGGGAGCGGGGGGAAAAGCACCTGCATGCTGGATGGGGTGGTGGATGGAGCGGTGCCCGGCTCCCTAGGGGGTCATGGGGGGCCAAGGGCAGCATCGCACCCCAAGGAGTGATTTTGGGTGTCATTGGGTGCCAAGGGCAGCATTGCATCCCACAGGACTGATTTTGGGTGTCATTGGGGCCAAGGGCAGCATCGCACCCCAAGGACTGATTTTGGGTGTCTTTGGGGCCAAGGGCAGCATCGTATCCCATGGGACTGATTTTGGGTGTCACTGGGGCCAAGGGCAGCATCGCATCCCACAGGACTGATTTTGGGTGTCATTGGGGGCCAAGGGCAGCATCGCACCCCAAGGACTGATTTTGGGTGTCACTGGGGCCAAGGGCAGCATCGCATCCCACAGGACTGATTTTGGGTGTCACTGGGGCCAAGGGCAGCATTGCACCCCACGGGACTGATTTTGGGTGTCATTGGGTGCCAAGGGCAGCATTGCATCCCACAGCACTGATTTTGGGTGTCATTGGGTGCCAAGGACAGCATTGCACCCCAAGGACTGATTTTGGGTGTCACTGGGTGCCAAGGGCGACATTGCATCCCAAGGAGTGATTTTGGGTGTCGTTGGGGCCAAGGGCAGCATTGCACCCCAAGGACTGATTTTGGGTGTCACTGGGTGCCAAGGGCAGCATTGCATCCCAAGGGACTGATTTTGGGTGTCATTGGGGCCAAGGGCAGCATCGCATCCCACAGGACTGATTTTGGGTGTCATTGGGGGCCAAGGGCAGCATCGCACCCCATGGACTGATTTTGGGTGTCACTGGGGCCAAGAGCAGCATTGCATCCCACGGGACTGATTTTGGGTGTCACTGGGGGCCAAGGGCAGCATTGCATCCCATGGGACTGATTTTGGGTGTCACTGGGGGCCAAGGGCGGCATTGCACCCCAAGGACTGATTTTGGGTGTCATTGGGGGCCAAGGGCAGCATTGCACCCCAAGGACTGATTTTGGGTGTCACTGGGGGCCAAGGGCAGCATTGCACCCCAAGGACTGATTTTGGGTGTCATTGGGGCCAAGGGCAGCATTGCACCCCACGGGACTGATTTTGGGTGTCACTGGGGGCAAAGGGCAGCATCGCACCCCAAGGACTGATTTTGGGTGTCATTGGGGCCAAGGGCAGCATTGCATCCCACGGGACTGATTTTGGCTGTCATTGGGTGCCAAGGGCAGCATTGCATCCCACGGGACTGATTTTGGGTGTCATTGGGTGCCAAGGGCAGCATTGCATCCCACAGGACTGATTTTGGGTGTCATTGGGTGCCAAGGGCAGCATCGCATCCCAAGGACTGATTTTGGGTGTCATTGGGTGCCAAGGGCAGCATTGCATCCCACAGGACTGATTTTGGGTGTCATTGGGTGCCAAGGGCAGCATTGCACCCCAAGGACTGATTTTGGGTGTCATTGGGGGCCAAGGGCAGCATTGCATCCCATGGGACTGATTTTGGGTGTCACTGGGGGCCAAGGGCAGCATTGCACCCCAAGGACTGATTTTGGGTGTCATTGGGTGCCAAGGGCAGCATTGCATCCCAAGGACTGATTTTGGGTGTCATTGGGTGCCAAGGGCAGCATCGCATCCCAAGGACTGATTTTGGGTGTCATTGGGTGCCAAGGGCAGCATCGCATCCCAAGGAGTGATTTTGGGTGTCATTGGGTGCCAAGGGCAGCATCGCACCCCAAGGACTGATTTTGGGTGTCACTGGGGGCAAAGGGCAGCATTGCATCCCAAGGACTGATTTTGGGTGTCACTGGGGCCAAGGGCAGCATTGCACCCCAAGGAGTGATTTTGGGTGTCACTGGGGGCCAAGGGCAGCATTGCACCCCAAGGAGTGATTTTGGGTGTCACTGGGGGCCAAGGGCAGCATTGCACCCCAAGGAGTGATTTTGGGTGTCATTGGGTGCCAAGGGCAGCATTGCATCCCAAGGAGTGATTCTGGGTGTCATTGGGTGCCAAGGGCAGCATCACACCCCAAGGACGGATTTTGGGGTGTCACTGGGTGCCAAGGGTACCACTGCACCCCAGGGAGGGATTTTGGGGTGTCATTGGGTGACACAACCCAAGGAAACAGGACTTGGTGGGTGCAGTGATCCCAAGTAGCTTCTCAGCAGGGTTTGGGAGAGCAGGATGGGTGCTGAGGTGCTGGGAAGGGCTGGATCCACTCAAAGGGAAGGAATCCCATAGCCTCACAGGAAGGAAAAGCCCCCCAGCCAGCTATGGGGGGCCCATGGGGGTGAAGGCTGTAACACGTCATGTTTATTGCCCCACACATGTGGGTTCCTGAGGTGGGGTGAGCACCCTTTGGGACCCCTTTGTGGGGTGACAACAAGCTGGGGACCCCTTCATGTCTTCAGCACATGGAGGGGGGCTCAGGTTGTGGTGCTCCTGCCTCTTCCTGGAGCTGGGATGCGGGTATGGGAGCATGGAAGCATCCGGCATCCACCACATCCAGGCTGGAGAGGAATCAGGTAAAGGACCACGTTATCCATAGGGATCCCGATGCCAGGGATCTCCTGGTGCGGATGGGGAGTGGGAAGGGAGGTCCTGGGACACCCAGGGATTCAGAGTGGGATCCAAACTGGCTTCAAAAGAGAGGAGTCATCTGCCTGGGGTCATCAGGGAGGATGCTGATGGAGTCCTCAGCCCGGCCACAGAGCAGGCACAGCATGGTGTATTCCTGGTGGGACACAGAGGGATGAGCACAGGAGGGTGTATTCCTGGTGGGATAGAGAGGGATGAGCACAGGAGGGTGTATTCCTGGTGGGATAGAGAGGGATGAGCACAGGAGGGTGTATTCCTGGTGGGATGCAGAGGGATGAGCACAGGAGGGTGTATTCCTGGTGGGACACAGAGGGATGAGCACAGGAGGGTGTATTCCTGGTGGGATACAGAGGGATGAGCACAGGAGGGTGTATTCCTGGTGGGATAGAGAGGGATGAGCACAGGAGGGTGTATTCCTGATGGGATAGAGAGGGATGAGCACAGGAGGGTGTATTCCTGGTGGGACACAGAGGGATGAGCACAGGAGGGTGTATTCCTGGTGGGATAGAGAGGGATGAGCACAGGAGGGTGTATTCCTGGTGGGACACAGAGGGATGAGCACAGGAGGGTGTATTCCTGGTGGGATAGAGAGGGATGAGCACAGGAGGGTGTATTCCTGGTGGGATACAGAGGGATGAGCACAGGGGGGTGTATTCCTGGTGGGATGCAGAGGGATGAGCACAGGAGGGTGTATTCCTGGTGGGACACAGAGGGATGAGCACAGGGGGGTGTATTCCTGGTGGGATACAGAGGGATGAGCACAGGAGGGTGTATTCCTGGTGGGACACAGAGGGATGAGCACAGGAGGGTGTATTCCTGGTGGGATAGAGAGGGATGAGCACTGGGGGGTGTATTCCTGGTGGGACTCAGAGGGATGAGCACAGGAGGGTGTATTCCTGGTGGGATACAGAGGGATGAGCACAGGAGGGTGTATTCCTGGTGGGATAGAGAGGGATGAGCACAGGGGGGTGTATTCCTGGTGGGATAGAGAGGGATGAGCACAGGGGGGTGTATTCCTGGTGGGACGCAGAGGGATGAGCACAGGGGGGTGTATTCCTGGTGGGATAGAGAGGGATGAGCACAGGAGGGTGTATTCCTGATGGGATACAGAGGGATGAGCACCCGGGGGGTGTATTCCTGATGGGATAGAGAGGGATGAGCACAGGAGGGTGTATTCCTGATGGGATACAGAGGGATGAGCACTGGGGGGTGTATTCCTGATGGGATACAGAGGGATGAGCACAGGAGGGTGTATTCCTGGTGGGATACAAAGGGATGAGCACTGGGGGGTGTATTCCTGGTGGGACAGAGAGGGATGAGCACAGGGGGGTGTATTCCTGGTGGGATAGAGAGGGATGAGCACAGGAGGGTGTATTCCTGATGGGATACAGAGGGATGAGCACCCGGGGGGTGTATTCCTGATGGGATAGAGAGGGATGAGCACAGGAGGGTGTATTCCTGGTGGGATACAGAGGGATGAGCACTAGGGGGTGTATTCCTGATGGGATACAGAGGGATGAGCACTGGGGGGTGTATTCCTGATGGGATACAGAGGGATGAGCACAGGAGGGTGTATTCCTGGTGGGATACAAAGGGATGAGCACTGGGGGGTGTATTCCTGGTGGGATAGAGAGGGATGAGCACAGGGGGGTTTATTCCTGATGGGATAGAGGGGGGGGGCTGCCACTGCAGCTCCTCTGCTCTCCCACAGGGAAACCCAACCCGGCTCCACCACCCGATCCCCGACTGCAATCGGATCCAGCAGGATCCTGTTTCCAGCTCTCCCCCCCCGTTTTCCAGCCTTCAGTGCTGCCCAGGGAACGTGCCAGGGAGGAGGAGGGCAGAGCCATGCCTGCCCGCACCCACAGCCCCACCGGCAAGCACGAGGTGAGCTGGGGAGCCGGGCCCAGCGCAAGCATCCGGATGGCTTCTGGAAGCACAGGGAGAGCCTGGACCATCAGTGGGGTGTCCCCATTGCTGTGGGGGGGGCACAAAGCGGGGTGCGGGGGGTACCTGGTAGTCGTCCACCACGCTGAAGGTGTACTCGTGGCGAGCAATGAGGTGGTGGCAGCTCCGGCACAGGTCTGGGGTGGGGGGAGAGGACACCGGGATAAAGGGATGTGGCTGCTCCCAACCCTGGCCTTTCCCATCCCGATGCCCTCAGCCCCTTGGGGGCAAAGGGATGACCCCCCCCTCCCCTTCCCCAGCACCTAAACCTCTTCCCAGCCATCAGCTCCCTGACACCCCCAACCCCAAACCTTGAGATCCCCCCCCCTTAAACATCACTTCCCCAGCCGTGACC